TGTTCATTGTCTTGGCACGTGGGCACCCTTGGACACCTGACGTGTGTATTTTCCTTGTCCTAGTGGGAAGCAGTGGAGGATTCTTAGGTTCTAAAAGAAAAAGCTTAGGGCTGGTGAGATGGCTCAGCCAGTGAAGGCGCTTGGCAGGAAGCTCGGGACTTGAGTTTGATCCTCCGTGACCCACATGGAGGATGGAGAAAGAGCACACTGAGGAGACTCCTCGAATTGTCCTCTGACCTCTACACACCTCTGTGACACCCATGCACACCCGCCCCCAATACATTAACAATTTTAAAGAAAAGCTAATATAATACTCTTAGAGCGCATAAAGAGAGCTATATAAGTGGGTTGGTTGAGTGTAAATTTGTGTCTTAATTTGCAGCCTGCTGAGCTAATAGCAAGGGAGCATCCCACACAGAGGCACTGGGCCTTGCGTAGTTCTTGGACTGATGAACTATTTGTCTTGCTTGGCCATATCAGCTTTTGTACCTATAACCCCCTGCCCCCATCTTTCCTGCTTTCTTTCAGGAGTGCAGGGAATTGAACACATGGCTCTATACAGCTCTTTACAGCTGAGCTACATTTCAGCTCTTCTTTCTTTCATGTAAATGTACTTTTTCCTCCGTTTCTTTGGGGGAAAACTATAAAATTACCTGAAGTAACACTTCCTCCTTAGATTATAGGGAGTGGATGAGTCGTCTCGCTCAAAAGAGACATAGAAGAGAGACTGTGTGTATGGTTATGTTTTCTTCAATTCCGGCTCCCTTCCCCTCCCCTCTCCTTTCTCTTGTGAGAACAGACTTCTTTAAATCTGGGAGGGGAAACAGAAAAATCCCACTAGTTACTTTCAGTAGCTTGTTTCTGACAGTCTGTGTCCATATGGCAACACATTCTATTTATTGATTTATTTTTACACAGTTGCAACTTGTATGTACCATTTTGGATTTTTTTTAAAAAAAATTTTACAAAGAGTATGTTTTTATTTGTGTACCAATAAGGTTTACAGTTGACAATCAGACACAACAAAGGTTTGAAAAGCTATAGATGACGACTGTTGGTTGAACCTCCCTAGAAAATTTTATAGAACATTTCTCATACACTCCCATCTGAATCTTAAGTATGACATGTGTCCAGGTGACAGAATTATGGTTCCCTTCCGTTAGCCTCATTGCCTCATTGTCCTTTTTCTTCTTTTTTTTCTGGACTAGGCATTGCTGTCCTGATGACGTGGCACTTCCTCAGAAAGTGGCTCTTCCTCAATGCGCTTCTTTTTACCCTTCCTTTGTTCCTTTCTTTCTTTCTTCCGTCTGTTGGTCTGTCAGTCTGTCTTCTTCCATGCTGAAGATGGTTCCTAGCATAACCAGAATGTTACAGGAAAAGCTCTGGCTCCAGCTGTCCTGCTAAACTGGGCTTGGTCACTCATCTCAAGGTGCCAATTAAAGAGACAACTGCTGGCACAAAGCAGAGAAAGGAGAATTGACGTCCTGGGAAAAGAACCAATAAAGGGGTCCATCTGTCCCTGAGTTGGGCTTCAGGATCCTGCCATGAGCCTTAGGTTCAAGTAGAGGAAGGATTGGGGCAGAGGGTGAAGATAGCTAACTAAGTAGTCCCGGTCAAGCTGTGCTTTTGGCCATTACAGTCTCACCTCAGGTCCTGCAACATGGCCCGCACCGTGAGTTGTCTTCACCGAAATTCTAGTTCTTGTAAGGTGATCTGCTTAGAGTACAGCCTCCCCATCATAGATAATTGTTCTCATCATGTGGAATCAAAGGTAACTCCAGGTTTAAGACAATGCCTTCAGTCTCACAGGAATGAGAGAGGGTGTGAATCACTGGATCTACACAGGCGCTCCTGGAATGATTCACATGGCCCTGTGTAGAGAAAAGCAGGATGACCCAAAGGCAAGGAGACAGACGCAGAAGGAAGATGGAAATGGCAGGCTTCCATCCTGTTTTAGTTACTCTGTGGGCTCGAGTGAGATCTGAGCTTTTCAGCAGAAGCAGCTAAGTGCCTGTTATTCTAGGGCCTTGTGCATGCTAGGCAAGTAGTCCACCATTGAGCTAACCGCCTAGCTCCTTTTTCACTTTCTATTTTGAGACAGTCTTTTTAAGTTGAACAGGCTGGCTTTCAACTTGCCCTGCAGCTCAGCAGGCCTTGAATTTGTTGTCTTAATTCACACCCCTGAGTAGCTGGAGTTACAGGTTCTGCGTTACCGGGCAATGATTTTTTTTTTTTTTTTTTTTTTTTTGTAATGAACCATAAGCACTTTATGAAGCATTTAGGGGTGGGGTGGGGGCCCTTCAGCAAAGTGAGGTGATGGTGGTTGGTTGAAATTGTTGGTCCAGGTGGCATCTTGGGGTGCATAGGCCTTTTTAGAGGTCTGGGGAGATGTTGTGGTTTGCTTTGGTTATGCAGTGGCAGTTCATATACGTTGAAGTCGAGTCTCTGATCGGGATGACAGCATTAGTAATAGTGAGGAATGGAATCATTGGACTTTCGGGTGGCAAGCCTTTGTGTATCTGACGCGATGAAAGAGCCCCAGGATTGTGTGGCTTTGAGCAGACCCTCACCCTGGCCAATTCAAGAAACAGGAAGCTTAGTTTGGGCTTGTTTTGTTTGTCAAACCCTCTGCAGTACAGTTCCTCTTGTGCTCTGATATTTTTAAGAGTTTCAGGTCTGTGCTTTGTCATTCTGGTTCTGAACAAGTAGGAAGGAAATGTTTACATTTCCCAAATAAAGTGGAATAAAAAGACTTAATTTTTTTCCCCTAATACTGAGAATTGAACCCAGGGCCCACACATTCCAGATAAGTGATCTGCTACTAAACTACATTCCTGGCCCTTTAAAAATTAGACTTTGAGGGGCTGGAGATGTGGCTCAGGAGTGAAAAGTGCTCGCTACTCTTAGAGAGGACTGAGCTTGTTCCCAGTACTCAAAGCTACCTGTAGCTCGAGCTCCAGGTGGTCTTCTGGTCTCCATATGGATGCACATGCACATACACACATACGAAATACACTTTTATTTTGAGGTCTGGGGATATATTTCAATGGTAGAGTACTTGCCTAGCATGTAGGAAGGAGACCCTTAATTCAATGTTAGTGCTGCAAAAACCAAAGTAAGAAAAAATTGCTTTAAGACAGTCTACCACACTGTCCTCAAACTTAGGATTCTCCTGCCTTGGCCTGGAATTATTACAAGGTGTGCCTTTACCATGCCCAGAAAATATTTCAGATTTCAAAATTCAAATACTTTCATTGCCATTATCTAATATTTTAAAAAAGAATGAACTTGCCATTGAATATTACCTAAAACATCACAAAAACAAAATGTAGGTGCGCTCTCTGTTTTTTTTTTTTTTTTTTTTTTGAGACAGAGTCACATGTAGCACAGGCTGGCCCTTAACTGAATAGGTGGCTGAGGATGGCCTAGGCTCCTGATCAGTCTGATCCACCTTCTCCAGTGCTGTGATTACGGCACAAGCCGCCATAGCTGGCTGTGTCATTTCTCTTTAGTCACAGCCTCCCAATGCTTATCTTGATAGCCGCGGGCCCGTGTTATCATGAAGTAAACAAATCTCCAACCCTAGGAAAACAGCCAGCCTCTTTCCTGGCTGCTGTTGGGTTGTAGAATCCAAGTTCAAACCTTTGAGTAAATTTAGATATTTCTGTAATCCTATAGAAGGCAACTATGCATTTGAGGTTTGGGCCCGTGACTATGCTTGATTCCACCCCCTTCCCCAAACCACATTTTTAAGACAGAAGGAAAATTTCAACGAACAGATCAAATATTGGTTCCTCGCCGAGTTTGTTCCTAGGCAATCTAGCTTAAGATGGCCACCTCCTGGCCCCAGAAGAGAAGAAGGCTCAGTGGTCTGAGTGTTTGCTGTGTGAGTGTGAAGACTTGAGTCTGAGTCCCTAACAAGCCTGTAAAAAGCTGGGCGTGGTCACTCCTGTGTCTGTAACCCAACACCATGGGGTGGAGACAAGAGGATTGCTGAGACCTGCTGACTGCCCCGTGAGCTCCAAGTTCAGTGAGAGACCCTGTGTCAAGGCAATAAGATGGAGAGAGACAGCAGGATACTTGAAATCCTACTCAGGCTCTTACTATGCATGGAGTGCCTGTGCCTTCACACACATGCAAATGTACACACACACACACACACACAGGTGGCTTCTTTCAAAATTCCTTTTTTAAAAAATCTTTCAGAGTCCGGCACAGGTCTTCCTTGAGCTATGGCAGGTGATTCTCCATGGTTTGCTCATTTCGGGTTTGATTCCTGTTCTTTGAGCCACCGTTCCAGATTTTGACTGAGAACTGAGTCCTGTCCCCTTTGCTTCTCTTGGATTACTAAGTCCTTGAGTGCTCAGGGACTGTTTCTTGCGATATCTCTCTGCCTACACAGAAGATAAGATTTCCAAACAGCTGTTGAAGGTTGAGTATGCGCAGCACGGTTTCTTGTGTTGTTTTCCAACATGCTGCGTGATTTTATTAGCTACGGAATTAGAGATTTTCTAGCAGAGGCTTTGGTCTTCGTCTTTGTTGTCTCCCTCCTCCCCTTCCCCCTCTCCCTCCTCCCTCTTTGCTTTCTTCTTTGCTTTTGTTTGTTTGTTTAGAGGTAGTAAGAACTTCAGAGTGGCACAGTGGAATGATCGCCATGAAGGTTCATGCACGCATGCCGGGTGGTGGTGGCGCACTCCTTTAATCCCAGCACTCGGGAGGCAGAGGCAGGTGGATCTCTGTGATTCTGAGGCCTGCCTGGTCTACAGAGCGAGATCCAGGACAGGCATCAAAGCTACAAAGAGAAACCCTGTCTCGAAAAACTAAAAAAAAAAAAAAAAAAGAAACAAACAAAAAGCAAAAAGAAGGTTCACGCACAAGTAATGAATTAGGAGGGAGTTGAGTTGTGATTGGACCAGCTGCTTACATGGGACTACTTGTTGTATGTGTTTTTTTTTGTTTGTTTGTTTGTTTGTTTTTAAAGGAGCTCTGGTAAAATTTTATCAAAGAAAAACTTTCCTGGTTTACTTTTCACCAGTCTGTTCTGGCATGCTTCTAATAATATCACAGTCACCTGGGTCAATGATAGCCAGTGTGCATACTCTGTAGTATTTTCCACATGCTGTGCCCAATTCAATGTTATTGCCACTGTAGTGATGAACACCAGTTTTAGCCAACATGGCATAGTATTCTATTTCAGATTTCCTCAAAGCTGGACAGTTGTTGGCGAGGATAACCAATTTCGCTTTGCCCTGTCTGATCATCTGCAGAGTCTGTTTGTACCCCAGCACGTACTTTCCACTTTTCATAATAAGTTGGAGCCTAGAGTTGATCGACTCCAGAGACTTTTTCGTCTTCTTTGCGGCCACCATCTTCCTGCCTTAGGTGCGGGACAGCCCCCAACCAAGACCGGCCGCCAAGATGGCCGGGGAGCGAGAAAGGCACATGGGACTACTTATACTCTTGATTTTTGCCTTGTACTGAAAGATTGACTTCCCTAAGAGCTACTAGGTGAGACAGGACTACAATAAGCATGTCTGAAGAACAGAACTGTGTTACTATCTGCAGGATGGGCTGACAAACGGAAGCGGGAAAATGTCTTGCTGTTGGGCTAGGACCGTTTGTTTTATGGAATCTGATTTTTTCATCATTCTCTACCCTCTTCTCCATACTTTGATAATTTATATTATTAATTGTAGCTAAAGTTATTCTGTGTCCACCCAACTCCTGCGTCCTTGTATTTCCGAAGCCGCTCACACCCAAGTAAACACACACAGGCTAATATTATTTAAAACTGTTTGGCCATTAGCTCAGGCCTATCACTGACTAACTCTTACACTTAAACTCAACCCATTTTTGTTAATCTAGATGTTGCCACATGTTCCGTGGCTTTACCTGTGTGCCTGTTACATGCTGCTCCCTGGACGGCAGGCTGGTGTCTCCTGACTCAACCTTCTTCTTACAATTAATTTTATGGTTGTTATTTTTTTCTGAGACATGATCTTGCTGTGTAAGCAAGGAACTCTCTCCTCCTGCCCCAGTCTCCTAAGTGTTGGGATAATTTGGTAGAAAAGAATTCAAAATGTTCTGGTGAACATTCTAGATCTTTAAGTGGATTTTTCTGACTAGAGTGGAACTATCACAGTTACAACAAATACATTAAAACATCAACTCTGGCAACAGTTACCAGTTGTTGCTGACTCTTTGGCCATGTTACTGAGGATTTATTGTTGCTTTGGGCGGGTCGTGCTGAGGGTCAGATCCAGCATCTCAACATGCAGCTGTGCACCCAGCTCTTAACGAGTTGAACACTTGCCCCTTTTATGTGTGGACTAAGAGCAAAGGCACAGTAGACATGGAAAGGCGCTGGAGGCAGCTAGGAGGCGGCGCTTGCCCCAGATTAGGATGCCAGGTGATATGGAGTTCTCGTTCACTTCTTTCAGATGGGATGCTAAATGATATGGCAACCACTTCTGGTGAGGTGGGTGTTTGGAACTCATTCTGTTTCTGAGCAGCATAGCCCCGGAGTTAAATATTTCAACCCAGCCAAGTGTTCTTGAGGACACACTTGAACGTGAGGATGTCTGCTTTGACCCTCCTCCAACCCTTGGCAATTCCTGTGTGCTTGGCACTGCCATCGGGAGACCTGTGTGAATCTATAGCTCTCACCCTGAGAGCACCCTTTCCATCGTGTAGGTTTCTTTAAGAGGATCAAATAGAGGGAGCAAGTGCAGCTTTCCAGTGATGCTGTTGGTGGCTTTGGTTCCTAGTAACCCCTCTGGGAACTTGTCTTTTGCTGTAGATTCTTTGTCCTATGTTAAGTGCCCAACACACACATAATAGAGCCACTGGAAGATTCAGCTAAGGTCAGATGTGGAAGCTGTTTATGCCTGCTTCTTCATGTAATTCCCATTTCACTCTGAATGAAGCCCGAAAGGCATTTTATTTTATTTTTATACTGTGTGTGTGTGTGTGTGTGTGTGTGTGTGTGTGTGTGTGTGTGCGCGCTGTGGTGCATGTGTACAGGATAACTTGTGAGAGTTAGTGTTCTCATTCTACCACGTGAGTCCTGGAGATGAGCTCAGGTTCTGAGGGTTAGCATCGAGCACCTTTTCCTACTGAGTCATCTTAGCAACCCCCATAGGCCTTTGAGAGAGGTACAGCAGACCAAGCCATCCAGGACTGTGGGATACTGCCCTTAAAATTTCTTTCATAGGAAGGAAGTGGTACAGGGAGCCTTTGGGATGATGTAAGGGCAGGTAGGATGCAGAGAAGATGGAGGATGCTAGATGTGGCTGGAAATGAAAGTAGTGCTTTCTTACTTTGGTCTCTAGTAAATGAGATCTTTAAGCCGTTGTCTCATTTCTTCTTTACTATCGGTTTCTTTTCCTTTCCAGCCTCTGGAATTCTTTTCTGGCTTAGTGGTAATGGGGCAAGGGAGTCAGTGGAGTCTGTGACCTGAATTTCTTCAGTTCTACCAGGTCATTTTCACTGTTTGTCTAGCCTTCCCGGATGTATTAATTTTCATAGTGTGTCATAGTTTGAGCTGTGAAGAAATATCAGGTCATATGACAGGATCCCTCCTTCAGTTCTTAATGATTGTGAAATTAAGAGTTTTGAAGTCTGACAGTATTAAAGCTACTTGATGGTGATAGTGTGTCTCAGAGGGTGAATGATTTGTCCATCTCTGGACATCCCCTTGAGCTTTTCTCACTACCACCCTATGCCCATGTCTCTGCTGTCCTATACTTCCTCAACCTGTGAACACATCGATACTGCTGCTCTCGAGAAACAAGGCCTGCACCCTACTGCTACCCACAGTCCATTTCTGGATCATGAACATTGCCAGCAGTCTTATTTCTGATGGGTGTTTAGTTTTGTGGTCTCCCTCCACCTTCCCCCGCACGCGCACACCTTCTTTCACTTTAAATGTAAAGTGCCTTTGTTTAATTTTCATTCTTTCTTTTCCAGTTCAAATCTGAACATCAATGATGTCCTAGGGAATTACTCCCTGACTCTTGTTGATGCCTTGGATACACTTGCAGTAAGTACTCAGCCTTTTCTTCTTTAATTAAGATAATTAAGATAAAGTGTTTGGGGGTTTATTGTATTTCCTCATTTCCCCCAGGAATGGGAATTCTAGGAAATGCTGTACTCAGAAGGCTTTGTTGAGTGTTATTTATTTTAATGATCTTCATGGGAAGACAAGAAAAGCATTGAAGGTTAACTGAGGGGAAATGTGGCTCTCCTTAAAGGAGAGAAGAAGGACAGGGCTAATTTTTAGAGGACCTACTTTTTTCTTTGTCCTCCTGTCCTAACAGAGTCTGGAGACTTATGTTACTACTCAGTTACTGTAGTCTGTTAGATCACAGACTGTATTGGTTACTCAGTTACTATAGTTGGTTAGATCACAGACTGTATTGGTTACTCAGTTACTGCGGTCTGTTAGATCACAGACTGTATTGGTTACTCAGTTACTGTAGTCTGTTAGATCACAGACTGTATTGGTTACTCAGTTACTGCAGTCTGTTAGATCACAGACTGTATTGGTTACTCAGTTACTGCGGTCTGTTAGATCACAGACTGTATTGGTTACTCAGTTACTGTAGTCTGTTAGATCACAGACTGTATTGGTTACTCAGTTACTGCAGTCTGTTAGATCACAGACTGTATTGGTTACTCAGTTACTGCGGTCTGTTAGATCACAGACTGTATTGGTTACTCAGTTACTGTGGTCTGTTAGATCACAGACTGTATTGGCTACTCAGTTACTGCAGTCTGTTAGATCACAGACTGTATTGGCTACTCAGTTACTGTGGTCTGTTAGATCACGGACTGTATTGGTTACTCAGTTACTGTGGTCTGTTAGATCACAGACTGTATTGGCTACTCAGTTACTGTGGTCTGTTAGATCACAGACTGTATTGGTTACTCAGTTACTGTAGTTGGTTAGATCACAGTCTGTATTGGTTACTCAGTTACTGTAGTTGGTTAGATCACAGTCTGTATTGGTTACTCAGTTACTGTAGTCTGTTAGATCACAGACTGTATTGGTTACTCAGTTACTGTGGTCTGTTAGATCACAGACTGTATTGGTTACTCAGTTACTGCAGTCTGTTAGATCACAGACTGTATTGGTTACTCAGTTACTGCAGTCTGTTAGATCACAGACTGTATTGGTTACTCAGTTACTGCAGTCTGTTAGATCACAGACTGTATTGGTTACTTAGTTACTGTAGTTGGTTAGATCACAGACTGTATTGGTTACTCAGTTACTGTGGTCTGTTAGATCACAGACTGTATTGGTTACTCAGTTACTGTGGTCTGTTAGATCACAGACTGTATTGGTTACTCAGTTACTGCAGTCTGTTAGATCACAGACTGTATTGGTTACTCAGTTACTGTAGTTGGTTAGATCACAGACTGTATTGGTTACTCAGTTACTATAGTTGGTTAGATCACAGACTGTATTGGTTACTCAGTTACTGTGGTCTGTTAGATCACAGACTCTATTGGTTACTTAGTTACTGTAGTTGGTTAGATCACAGACTGTATTGGTTACTCAGCTACTGTAGTTGGTTAGATCACAGTCTGTATTGGTTACTCAGTTACTGTGGTCTGTTAGATCACAGACTGTATTGGTTACTCAGTTACTGTGGTCTGTTAGATCACAGACTGTATTGGTTACTCAGCTACTGTAGTTGGTTAGATCACAGTCTGTATTGGTTACTCAGTTACTGTAGTCTGTTAGATCACAGACTGTATTGGTTACTCAGTTACTGTACTTGGTTAGATCACAGACTGTATTGGTTACTCAGTTACTGTACTTGGTTAGATCACAGACTGTATTGGTTAGATCACAGACTCTATTGGTTACTCAGTTACTGTAGTTGGTTAGATCACAGACTGTATTGGTTAGATCACAGACTCTATTGGTTACTCAGTTACTGTAGTCTGTTAGATCACAGACTCTATTGGTTACTTAGTTACTATGGTCTGTTAGATCACAGACTCTATTGGTTACTCAGTTACTGTAGTTGGTTAGATTACAGACTGTATTGGTTACTCAGTTACTGTAGTTGGTTAGATCACAGACTCTATTGGTTACTCAGTTACTGTGGTCTGTTAGATCACAGACTGTATTGGTTACTCAGTTACTGTAGTCTGTTAGATCACAGACTGTATTGGTTACTCAGTTACTGTACTTGGTTAGATCACAGACTGTATTGGTTACTCAGTTACTGTAGTTGGTTAGATCACAGACTGTATTGGTTAGATCACAGACTCTATTGGTTACTCAGTTACTGTAGTCTGTTAGATCACAGACTCTATTGGTTACTCAGTTACTGTGGTCTGTTAGATCACAGACTCTATTGGTTACTCAGTTACTGTAGTTGGTTAGATCACAGACTGTATTGGTTACTCAGTTACTGTACTTGGTTAGATCACAGACTCTATTGGTTACTCAGTTACTGTGGTCTGTTAGATCACAGACTGTATTGGTTACTCAGTTACTGTACTTGGTTAGATCACAGACTGTATTGGTTACTCAGTCACTGTACTTGGTTAGATCACAGACTGTATTGGTTACTCGGTTACTCTAGTCTGTTAGATCACAGACTCTATTGGTTACTCGGTTACTGTAGTTGGTTAGATCACAGACTCTATTGGTTACTCAGTTACTGTGGTCTGTTAGATCACAGACTGTATTGGTTACTCAGTTACTGTACTTGGTTAGATCACAGACTGTATTGGTTACTCAGTTACTGTACTTGGTTAGATCACAGATTGTATTGGTTACTCAGTTACTGTGGTCTGTTAGATCACAGACTGTATTGGTTACTCAGCTACTGTAGTCTGTTAGATCACAGACTCTATTGGTTATTTTTCTGTTGCTGTAATAAAACACCAGGGCCCAAAGCAAGGTAAGGGAAAGAGAGTTTATTTTGGTTTAATGGTTCCAGAGGGGAGTCCACCGAGGTGGGAAAGGCGTGGCATGGCAACAGGGTCAGGAAGCTGGATGTTCACATTTTCATCCACTTACAGTGAGACTCCTATAGGTTCCATAAGGTCCCCGAACAGCACCACCAACTGGGGACCAAGTGTTCCAGTACATGAGCCTATGGGGGGATACTTCTCATTCAGACCCCAAGGACCTTCTAGCCTCTACGTCTCTCTCCCAGAAAGCCGCCTAACCGCCCTGCAGCTCCTTCTCTGGGACAGAGCTAATAAAAAAAGGATACTGTGCCATGGCCTCTCAGCCCTGTTCTCTTCCCTGTGCAGCTGCAAGATAAATTTATGGTCCTGCTGAGTGCCTGTCTCTGTGTCCTTTGATACATAGGCCAGACTAAACTAAATTGTGAGGCATGAAACTTGCCTATAACCCTGAAAACCTGTGAGTCAGAACCTCTGTTTGTTCTCTGGAACTAAGTGGGCTGTCTCTTCTTTAGGATCCCCATCCTACCACACACACCTGTCTCTCGTAATTGCTCTCTGACTTGAGCATCATGGCTGTGGCTGTGAGGCTCTCTTCCCTGAAGCGTTCGTTCTGAAGGGTAATTTTGTGAGAGCTCCTTTTACAAATCCACCATTCTTCTTTTTAGCTTATAACACTACAATACTTGAGGAGTAAAAACCAGAAGAGCCCAGGGTCAGAAGGTACCCCCAAATGCTTCAAGCTACTGGCTTCTGAGGAGTGTCTATGCCCAGTGCCTGCCCGTGCATGAGGCCCCTCTCTGTGAACACCCCTGTTATTTACTGCTTCTTGGTTTTGACTACGGTTCACTCCAGATGTGGCTTGCCAAC